AACTCACATTCACATCCAGGAAACGGAGATACTCGCGGCCAAATGAGCCTTCAGGGAGGCTCTGGAGCTTGCCCAGGTCCAGGGTGGACAGTGAGATCCGGGGACGCTCCCTGAAAGGCAGGACCGGATATTAGGAGGTACCAGCAAAGGCAGGTGAAAGGCCCAGTTAGAGTAAACTTTGGTTGGGGGTAAGGACACAGGGCAGCATTTAGCCACCGATCTAAAGGAGAATCTACTTGCCAGGCCAGTTTGGGGACTGAGGAGACTACCGCAAACCAAGGACATTGGAAGATAGACTACAGATGTACTAAAGGGGAAGGGTACAGCTAGCACATGTTTTATGAGGTTAATGAAGGCACAGAGTCCTGTGGCTGAGCTGGTCTGAGCTGCCACCTTGTACAACCCAAAGGTGGTCATACTGCACACACATATGTATCAGTGGTGCCCCTGGAGTTGGGCAGTGCCCAGCCTGTGCAATGTCCATGGTCAGGGTATCAAGCAGAGATCCCTAAAAGAACAGGGCTGATAAAATATGACTCTAGAAAAGTCAGGATCCCTAGAGAACTATCGCTTCCTGGCCTTTTAGCTAAGATATGTGCAGGATACCTATAGAATGACTTCAAGTCCCCAGGTAGAGCTGGGACCTACTGTAGGATCTGGGCACCCTCTGGATCCCTCTTCATCTGGTCCCTGAGGACCTTCAGGGTCCAGCATCCTGTGGTCTCCCCAAGAACTGCAATCATGTCTGAAATGACAGAGAAGGGCACAGATAGGGAACGTGATCTTAGGTAAGTTACTCGACTTGGTCTTATTCTTGGTTTTCTACACTATAAAATAGGGATAATATCTACCTCTTAGTTATAATAATCCATTTTAAATGCTTAGCATATCACCTAGCACACAGCTTAGACTCAATGTATCTATGATTTATTTTATGTTATGTTATTAATCTTCTGGGGTGGCTTTGGTTAGCACAGTGCTCTAAAGACTTTATAAATCATTTCACATTCATTATCACAAAAGAATATCATGTCTGCATTGACTGGTACAGACTCTGGTATTAGAGAGTGCTGTGTCTGAGACCAGGTACGATCTATTTAGGTGAACTTACACAAATTGCTTCACACTAAGCTTCAGAGTCCTAATTTGTAAAGTGTAGATTACACCTTTCATAGAGGGTTAATGTGAGAAATCCAGAAAAATCATGTTATATAAAATATTTAGCACAGCGCTTAAAGAGCAGTTGTCATTATTATTCTCAGTAAGAGTGATAGTACTTTCTAGAACTTAAAAATCCTGGAAAGGACACTATAGGATCTCTTTTTTTTTTTAAGTATTTTTTAGTTGTAGTTGAACACAATACCTTTATTTATTTTTATTTTATTTTAAAAAAGAGAGGAGAGAATTTTTTAATATTTATTTTTTAGTTTTCAGCAGACACAACATCTTTTTTTTTTAATTTTGTTTTTTAGTATTTATTTTTCAGTTTTCAGCAGACACAATGCCTTTATTTATTTTTATTTTATTTTAAAAAAGAGAGGAGAGAATTTTTTAATATTTATTTTTTAGTTTTCAGCAGACACAACATCTTTTTTTTTTAATTTTGTTTTTTAGTATTTATTTTTCAGTTTTCAGCAGACACAACATCTTTGTTTGTATGTGGTGCTGAGGATCGAACCCAGGCCACACGCATGCCAGGCGAGCCTGCTACTGCTTGAGCCACATGCCCAGCCCGACACAACATCTTTTTTGTATGTGGTGCTGAGGATTGAACCCAGGCCGCACGCATGCCAGGTGAGCTCGCTACCTACCACTTGAGCCACATCCCCAGCCCCGCCCCTTTATTTATTTTTATGCGGTGCTGAGGATAGAACCCAGCACGGACACATGCTAGGCGAATGCTCTACCTCTGAGCCACAACCCCGGCCCCAACTATAGGATCTTAAGAACTGTCTAGCAGCCAAGTGTGGTGGTCCACTTCTGTAACACCAGTGACTCAGGAGGCTGAGGCAGGAGGATCACAAGTTTGAGGCCTGACCCTGTCTCAAAATAAATAAAAGGGCTGAGGACATAGCTCAGTGGTAGAGTACCCCTGGATTCAATCCCCAGTACCACTTAAACAAAAAGTGTTCTAGGGGCCAGGGAGACTTGGCCCTTTAAGAACAGCATCTAAGCCAGGTGCGGTGGTGTATGCCTGTAGTCACAGCAGTTTGGGAGGCTGAGGTAGGAGGATCGAAAGTTGAAAGCCAGCCTTGGCAAAGTGAGGCACTAAGTAACTCAGTGAGACCCTGTCTCTAAATAAAAAATACAAAATAAGGCTGGTGATATGGCTCAGTAGTCAAGTGCCCCTGAGTTCAATCCCTGGTACCCACCCCCCACAAAAAATAAATAAATAAAGCAGCATCTGGTTGGAAATTGCCCCGCCTGCCACACCTGTTATAGAGGCCAGGAAACTCCAATTCCTCCTCCAGAAATGAGCCCTGAGCAGCCTCCTGATTCCTCCTGGGCCCAGGGACCCTCATCTGCAGGCCTCCATGGCTGGGTGCCAAGTAATTTGGTCTTTAGCCATGCCTGCACTCCTTACCAGAGGTGACCTTCCTTATGCACTGGTGAGCATAGCCCCTTTCCTGTGCCCTGGTCCATTCTATAGAATAACCCCCTGGATTGTGATCATAAACATTTTGTTTACCTTCTCCCCATTACAACCCTGGGCACCATGAGGAGGGGCTATGCCCACCAGGGTGCCTGTGGTGGGGAGGGGGCACAGCAGTTAGTCAGCCTGTGTAGGGCCATCTGGGGCGTTTACACAGGCTGGTCAGAGACCCTGGGCAGCCCCTGATGGGTCAGCTTGTAGAAATTGCCCTGCAAATGTCAGGAGCAGTACTGAAGTATAAGTTAGTGAGCCGCCACCATAGTAGGCATTTGAGCAGAGTTAGGAAGCAGAGGGGGTGAGATGGTATATCTTCAGAGAGAGGTCACTTCTGGAGATGATGCCTCTGTGGCCTAGGGGGGCCTCCCAGGTCAGGGCTCCCAGGTTAGGCCCAGCTGACGGAGGATGAAGTGGGTGATGGGTGGGTGTGGCCAGCCTGGCAGAGGAGACAAATATGACAACAATGTGACAAATGCCATGCTAGAGAAGGTCAGGGGTCACAGCTTGGCACAACTGGAGCAAAGAAGAGGCTCTTCTCAGGGATATTTGCCAGGCAGGTGTGGGAGGAGGTGAGCTCCCAGGCTATATGGGACATGTATATCCATGCTCCCCAGTGATCTCTGTAGTTCTCCACTGTCCTTTCAGATCAGTCCTCCCCTGTGCCTGTCTCTCTGTCCCTTGTCCCAGGTTGCCCAGTTCCTGGAACCAAATCTTGAGGAGGCCTGAGTTCCTCAGACCTCCAGATTCTGGGCCTTTTACTTAAGAACTCTGTTCAGGGGAACTGGACGCATAGGAAATAAAGAGCAGCAAGATAAATACTACTTGAATCTTCAACCCAGACAGTGTTTTCTATAAGTGCTGAGAAGGTTATAATTGGAAAGCCAGAATTCTCTTAGTTGCCTAGTCCTGAAGTTGGGTGCAGTTCAGTGGTACAGTACAAGTAGGAGGCCCTGGGTTCAGTTCCCAGTAATGGGGGGTGTTCTAGGGATGGGAATATAGCTGAAAGGTAGATCCCCGCGTACCCCCCGGCAAAAAAAAAAAAAAAAATTCTAATTATACAGCCAGCAGACATTTATTGAGATTTACTGAGCATTTACTATGTGTCAGGCACTATTCTAAATGCTGTAGATTCCGTGCATTCATGTTGTTCGACCTCATAAAATTTACTTTCTAGCAAGAATGTTGTTATTATTTACTTAGTATGAGGGATTGGAACCCAGGGAGCCCTTAAGCCACATCACCGGCCTGCTTTTATTTTAATTTTGGAAACAGAACCTCGCTAAGTTGCTGAGGCTGGCTTTGAACTTGAGATCCTCTTGCCTTAAGCCTCCCGAGCACCAGGAATTAAAGGCGTGCGCCACAGCGCCCGGCTCTAGCAGGAATGTTATAATGCGACAAGTGCTTATAAATCCTTTAGCCCAGGGGTTCTAAACACAGATGGATGACAGAATCTCCGGGAATTTGAAAAGATAAATGATCAGACTCTGCACCCCTCTTTTTATCCCTCCCCGCCCCCTGCCTGGCAGATTGGGATTCAAAGAGTTTAGGCAGAAACCAGGCATCTGGTTTTTATAAATATTTCTGGTGACTATGAGGTGAAGCAAGGTTTGGGTACCCCGACCCGTTCTATTCTCCAGGCACCCAGGAAAAGGAGGCTTTGAGGTGGGGACCTGCCCAGGCTTCCAGAGCAAGGGCACCCCGACCTCTCGCTGCCGGGACAGAGCGCCCAGCACGCGCGGCCTTACCGTGGCGGTACGGGTCGTAGAGCGCCATTCCCGCCGAGCCCGCGGCGAGCAGCGCCTTCTGCAGCGGGGAGGTGGGAATGTGGTCCGGGTAGAGCCGGCTGGCGCCATGGCTCCTGGCCCGGAAGGGCACATCTGCCAGGAAAGCAAAAGGCAGAGGTCAGACGAGCTCTGAGCCTGCACGCTCCTCCCGCCTCGGCCTGGGACCCAGCGCCACTTGCCTGCAGCCGGCCGGGTACTGCTGGAGAGCGGACGAAGGGGGAGCAGAGCCCGACGCAGCAGCGTCGCCATGGCAGCGGGCGTCCACCGAAGGGCAGGCGGGGCAAGGCCGACGCTCTAAACTTCTCTGGGAACGGAGTGCCAGAGAGGTCAAAAACTAAGCTGCCTACGGCCTCTCGTGGAACCGATAGGAAAGGGACCTAGCTAAGTATGAGAAGGAAACTCACGCACTTTATCTACCAGCAGTTTTCACTGATATAAGTTGTGCCCCGTTTCCCGCAACCCCAGAAAATTTCTCCAAAAAGACCTAATCCCGCTAGTTTTACAATTCTCTACCGGACCCTATTTCCTCCTCTCAGGTTTTCCCCCGAGGACAATAAGACAAGAACCTCTTCCGGCCAGGAAACATGGCGACGCCTATTGTAAGGACCACATTTGGGAAAGAACCGTACGACACTTCCGTTTGAATCTCAGTTTTTCCAAGAGCCCGGGGCGCCCGGGGCGCCGGGGGTGCGGGGGGCGTGGGCTGTGGTAATGGGTCTGGCGCGGTTGAACGGGCTCTTCGCAGCCTATAAGCCCCCGGGGCTAAAGTGGCTGCACCTGCGGGATACTGTAGAACAGCAGCTTCTGAAGGGTGAGTGCTTCGAACCCACCCACTATCCTGTTGAGGTTCTTTTAGGGGTCCCTCTCTGCTTCTTTCTATCCTTCCTGCAAAATAAAGTCATGTGACTGTTCTCCTGGGCAGAGCACTTTCCTATTCATCTGTTCTTATTCTCCAATATTTTCAGATGGGGAAATGCAGTATTGTATGTTGTCACACAGTGAGTCAGGATTTGAACCCAAGTTATCTTAACTGCTGCTATTTTGTGCTTATTTTCTGTCTTCTACATCATTTGCTTCCCTGTCCCCTTCTCTTCCAGTTGTTCTGACAGAACTGGCAAGATATTTGTCTTTATTCAGGTCTCAATGCCGCGGAGCCGTCTGTTCCTGAACAGCGTGTTCGCTTCTTGTTGGGCCCCATGGAAGGCAATGAAGAGGAGCTGGCCCTCACAGCCACCAGTGTGCCCACCCTCACCAAGCACAGGCTTGGTAAGGTAGATTCAGGCTGAATCTTGGTTAATACTTAACAGAAAATCCCTGACCTCCGTCAGTATCCCAGTGCTCAGATTCCTGGCCCAGGTCCTTGAAGTATTAGACCAGGGATTGGCGAACTTTCCTGGAAAGGGCCAGATTCTAAATATTGTAGGCTTTTCGCACATGTGGTTTCTGTTGCAACTGTTGAGCTCTACCATTTCAGCACAAAACGGCACAAGACACTGTGGGAAAGAATCATTCTTTAAGATTGTCATGCAAAAAAGCTACAGTCAGCTATGTGTGTACCTGTAGACCCAGTGACTTAGGAGACTGGGGCAGAAGGGTCATTTGAGTCCAGGAGTTCCAGGCCAACCAGGGCAACATAGCAAGACCCCCATCTCTTAAAACAGCAACAAAAGGACCCCCACAGGCTTGAGGATTTGGCCTATGGACTTTGTTTTACTGACTCTTTTATTATTCTAGGACTCCTGATATGAATTGAGAACTATTCTTAAGGAGGGGTTTGGGACTTCTCAAAAAGAGTGACTTTTTTTTTTTTTTTAGTACTGGGAATTGAACCCAGAGACTCGTACATGCTAGGTAAGCACTCTACCACTATGTTTATTTTTTAATTTTTAATTTATTTTAAATTTTAAACATGGTCTCTCAAAGGCCCAGGCCAGCCTTAAGCTTGCCATCCTTCTGCCTCTGCCTCTTGAGTAGCTGGGATTACAGGTATAGTATGTGCCATTATGCCTGGCAAGACTGACTTTTTAATCAATAAAGTGGCTCAACAACAGAACTATTTGCGGAAGCTGCCCTTGAACTTGCAGTCCTCCTGCCTTAGCCTCCAGAGTTGCTGGGATTACAGTGTGTACCATAGTCCCTGGCATGCCCAGTCCTCTTGAAGTCTCTCACTGGAAGATTGGTGAAAGGAAGAGTAAGAAACCTCTTGGGTTGTCCTTTCTCTAAGCCCTAAAGAACTAAGAAAATAGTTCTAGATCCCAGATTCCATGGAAAAAAGCCCGAGAGTATAGCCTGATCCTGATTTGAGGTACCATTCAAGGAATGAGGTCAGCATGCAGTGCAGAGTTATCCTGGAGGCTGGATAAATTGAGGAAATGGACCTTGCTGTTTTTTTCCAGTGTGTGGGCCAGCATTCACCAGCCTGAAGATTGGTGTGGGACATCGGCTGGATATCCAGTCTTCTGGGGTACTTGGTAGGTTGTGGGCAGCTTGAGGGTACAGTGATATGGTCTTAGGGAAGGACTGGGGAGCTACCATGAGCCCAGTACACTTCACACCACTGCCTCTTCCCCTGATTCCTGCCTTGAGTCTCTGATCAGCTGGGGAATTGATTGGTAGGATGGAGGGAGTCACAAGAGGGTAATCACAATTGCTTACTTTTATCAAGTGATTCTACCATGTGACATGGCTCAAGACCTTTAATGTACATTTATTCACCACAATAACCTTACTTATTAGGCAGATTCTTTATATAATTTTATGATTAAAGAAAGTAAGACTTCAAGAGCTTCGGTGGCTTGGCTGGGTTCTGTGGCTAGTGAATGCCCCTGGTCCTGAGAGGGAACACCATCATCTCATCATGGGGCAGCCAGGCATGTGACTCTGGCCAGTGTCTGAGTATTGCCAGAGCTGGGCCCACAAAGCCCTGAGTCATAAGCTGTTTGTGTCCCCAAGGTCAGGTGTTGGTCTTAGTTCCTCAGCCTCAATGGCAATGGAACCCTTGTCTTGCTTCTTGGAATATGGGAAGGCAGACATGATCTCATCTATCTTCCCTACTCACCCTCTCCAAGAGTGAATGTGGGTTGTTCTCTCCTTCAGCCAGAGAAACAAGCAGACTGAGAGAGACACGTGAAGTGGCCACAAAGACCCCCATTTGTTGGGCCCTTACTTTGTGCCAATGAGCTTCCTGTGCACTGCCTTCTTCCATCTGGATAACACTCTCAGACATTGGACAGGATGCTTCTCTCTATTTTACCAATGCAGAGCTCAAGTCCCAAAGAAATTAAAAGTTATACTCAGAGACAGACAATATTTTATTATAAATCTATGGGTCTAGGCTACCCACAAAGTCTCTTATTTCTAAGTGGATAGAATCCCCTGAGAAACTTGCTAAGGACCCAGACCCCTTCCCCGCCTTGTGACAGATTCAGTACATATGGGCAAGGCCTAGAAATTGGTATCTTGAAGTACCCAAAACTCACTTCCTGCAGAGGAGGTTCTCTTTGCCACCTTGCTGGCTTCGGAAACTTGGGAGTATTCTAATGGCAGCAGCGGGGTTGGGAATTTTCGGGGGAATAGGAGGGAGATGCCAGGCATGAGATGAGACTGACTGCCTTTCAGTGCTTGGCGTGGGACGTGGACGAAGACTCCTCACCGACATGTATGATGCTCACCTCACCAAGGTAAGGGAACCAGTACAGCTTGCTTATCCCTTGGTCCTTTCCTGGGGATCACTAGCAGTATTCTTTTTTTTTTTTTTTTTTTTAAGAGAGAGAATTTTAATATTTTTTATTTTTTATTTTTCGGCGGACACAACATCTTAGTTTGTATGTGGTGCTGAGGATCGAACCTGGGCTGCACGCATGCCAGGCGAGCGCGCTACCACTTGAGCCACATCCCCAGCCCATTCGCAGTATTCTGATGCTGAAGATACCATAGAGAACACCCAGGCCATCAGCAAACTTTTTTTATAATCATGTACTAGGGGAGACTGATATTGTGATAGTGACCAATGGTGTTACTAGGTGCCGACTGCTCCGCTCAACACTGTACACACATTTCCATGGGGATCCCTCACTACTACCTGTAAGGTGGAATCTGTGGCTAATCCAGTTTTACAGATGAGAGACTGCTTCTCACAGAGGAGACATATATATAGGGTCCCAAACTTTTTTTAAAAAAAGTTTCCTGTGGTGCTAGGGATTAAATCCAGGGCCTTGTGTGTGCTAGGCAAGTGCCCTACCACGGAACTACCTCCCCACCCCCACGAAGTCTTTAAGGCTTTAAGAACTGAAATTGTAACCTTCATTTGTCCCATACCAGAGCCTGGTCATGACACTATTTCATTCTTTCCCCAAGACTGAGAAGTGGCCGTCATCATCAAGTCCTCAAGGAGCTTCCTGTCCAAGGTGGGGCCATGGACTCTGGTCCCATAATGTACATGCAGATTTACATGTTAGGGGACCTTGTCTTAATGTCAAAGAGCATAGATTCTGGAGTCATATGACTCCAGTTCAAAACCCAGCTTCAGGGCTGGGGATGTGGCTCAGTGGTAGAGGGCTTGCCCAGATGCATGCCCAGGGTTTGATCCCCAGCACTGCAAAAAATTAACAACTTTTATTTCTTTGCCAGCCATGTGTCCTTGGGTGGGTCTCTTAACATCTGTGTACCTGTTTCCTCATTTTTAAAAAGGGAATGAGGATAGTATTTCCTCTGCAGGTATATTAGCCAAGGTTTTCTAGAGAAACAGAATCAATAGGAAGTGTAATTGTAAAAAGGGACTTATTAGGTTGCCTTATGTGACCAGAAGCTGGAGAGGCCACAATGGCTGTCTGCAGGCCAGAGAGCTGGGAGAACCAGTAGCTGCACAGTCCAAGAGGCTGAAGCCCCAGAACAAGAGAGATCAATGGTGCTACCCTAGCCTGAGACCTAAGCCTTCTGGAGAATCACTGTCCTCTTTGGAAGAGTGAAGAAGTGAAACAGTTACCAAGTTGATACTTCTGCAAGGGAGGAAGCCAGAATTTGGTGAAATAGAGATATGTGTTGTTGCTAACCTACATTTTTAAAAGAAGATTCATGTGTTAATTATATAACTGAAAAATAAGGTAAAAAAGAACATTAGATGCCAATCATCTAATATACTCAGATGATTGCAGCAGCAATCAAGAACCTGTTCAAGAAGAAATGAGCTTATGTCTGCTGTTGCTTCTTTGTTCTTCCAACTTTTATTCTATCTAAGCCATCATCTCATTGGTTGGTGCTGGCCACACTTAGTGTCTCCATTGCAGTTGGCTATCTTACATGTCAGTCATTTCTAGACATACCCTCATTGACACACCCATAATCTTAATCCTTGGCATCTCTTTTTTTTAAATTTATTTTTTAGTTGTAGTTGGGACATAATGCCTTTATTTTATTCATTTATTTCTATGTGGTACTGAGGGTCAGACCCAAGGCCTTGCACATTCTAGGCGAGCACTCTACTGCTGAGCCACAACCCCAGCCCTCTTTGATATCTATTAATCCAATCAAGTTGGCAATGCAAATTAACCATTACAGCAGGGTTATTTTGAAGATTAAACTAATGACCACATGTAAATGCTGAACCCAGCCCCTGGCACATCGTATATGCTCAGTAAATTCACTGTCATCACCAACTCTGCCCTCATCACTGCCTTAACTCTTTTTTCTTGCTGGACTTTGATTGAACCCTGAGTACTCTACCATTGAGCTGTGTATGGAAGAGGCAATTAGCTGTGCAGAGTTGGAAGAAGGGGCCCTCCTGAGATCAGGGTGGCAGGAGGGCTTGACATGACTGTGGAAAGCCTTGTTACCCTGGAGGGTAAAGAGAAGCTAACGGCATGCTGAGAGTCACTCATTATTGGGTGGCTGGGTGGAGAAATGGAGAGGTGTGGGGTCATTGCAGGGTGACGATCGGCACTCATTGCTGGTGGGCTGGTTTAACATCACCATGAGATTGGCCCTGTCGTGGTCCCCAGGTCACAGAAGAGAATTGGGGCACAAAGAGCAAGAGAGCTGCCCAAGCCCCATAGCAGAGCTAGCACCCTTCCCTAGGGTCAGGGGCTGTACATGGGAGCTCCCTGAGCAGGACCCAAGGACCCCCACCCCAGCCTCAGCTTTCCTCTTCCTCTGCACCAGAGCTTGGAGTGGGAATTCTGATTGGATCTTCTTCCTGCCTCACAGGATTATACAGTGCGAGGTCTTCTAGGCAAAGCCACAGATGACTTCCATGAGGATGGACGGCTGGTGGAGAAGACCACATATGGTAAGAGCCTGGGCGGGGGGGGAGTGGTGGCTGCCACTGCCCTCCACGTTGGCTTCTCAGTGAGCCCGTGTTCTGAGACATTCCATGGGATCTATCGCATGTTCATTGGAAGAGGATTTTGAGTACCAGGCACTGGGGGAAAATGGTGAATCAGATGGGGGTCCCCAGCCTAGCACATGGATTCCACCTCTTCTGTAAAGGATAGAAAACATGAGGCAAAGCAACACTATATATTTGTACACATAAATATGTGTCAATGTCCAAAAAAACGCCTGGAAACAATTACCAAGTTGATACTTCTGCAAGGGAGGAAGCCAGAATTTGGTGAAATAGATTTGTTGTTGCTAACCTACATTTTTAAAAGAAGATTCATGTGTTAATTATATAACTGAAAAATAAGGTAAAAAAGAATATTAAATGCTGAGAAAGAGAGCCAACAGGAAGAAGCCACAGGATCCAGGAGGGGCTTCCTGGGAAAAGGGAATCAAAGAAGGGGAGGAGGCAGTGGGAGGTACATTCCAGGTAAGATGAAGGCAGTGTGAGGACAGCCATACGGGAAGGTCAAGAAGGCAGGGCCCTTCCAGGCTGGGAAACCTTCTGTCCCCACACCTGGTTCTAGAGCTCTGGCCCTTGCTACCAGAAGTTGACACTTGCCCCACCTGGGCCCTAGGCTCCAGGCCAACTGGAATTTGTGAAAGTCTCCAGGCTGCTATAGTCACTTGGTGGGACCAGGTGTCAGAGCCATTCCCAGGTTTTGTTTTTTTTTTTTTTTTTTTTTTGCTTCTGTTTTTGTTTTGGTGGCACTGGGGATTGAACCCAGGGGCAGTCTACCACTGACTGAATCTCCATCCCATTTTTTTTTGTTTTTCCCATATTTTTAAAAATTTTATTTCTTCTTTTTAGATGTATATAACAGTAAAGTGTATTTAAAAAAAAAATTAGTTGTAGATGGACACAATACCTTTTTTAAAAAAAATGTGGTGCTAAGGATAGAACCCAGTGCCTCACATGTGCTAGGCAAGCACTCTGCCATACTGAACTACAACCCCAACTCTAGTAAAGCGTATTTTGACATATTATACATGCATGAAGTATAACTTATTAGGATCCCATTCTTGTGGTTGTACATGGTGTGGAGTTTCACTGGTTGTATATTCATAGGAAAGTGATGTCCAACTCATTCTACTGTTTTTCCCATTCCCATTCTCTTCCTTTATTTCCTTTTTGTTTCTTAATGAACTTCTATTCTTTCCTCCCCTCTCCAGCCATTTTTATTTTTCATTTTGATACAGGGTCTTGGTCAATTGCTGAGGATGGCCTTGAACCTAGAATCTTCCTGTTTCAGCCTCCCAAGTAGCTGGCACCACCACACCAAGCTCCACTCTCACTCCTTTCTACATTTGGGCAGGTGGCACCCTCCTCCAAGGGTCCTTGGCATGGAAAACCCCAGGCCAGGGCATAAGAGATGTGACTTAGGATATTTGGTGAGTCACATTAGGTCTTTGACCCTCCATTTCCAAAAGAAGATGTTCTTTTTCTTTTTCTTTTTTATTTATTTATTTTTTTAGGGTAGATGGATACAACACAATGCCTGTATTTTTATGTGGTGCTGAGGATGGAACCTGGGTCCCGCCCGTACTAGGCAAGCGCTCTACTGCTAAACCACAATCCCAGCCCCAAGAAGATGTTCTTAAGCTGAGTCTGGATGGCTTTAGGGAATCTGTGAGCCCCTGGAACATACCCTCAAAATATTAAGTTCCTGGGCTGGGGCTATAGCTGAGTGGTAGAGCACTTACCTCACATATGTGAGGCACTGGGTTCGATCCTCAACACCACGTGAAAATAAATAAATAAAGATATTGTGTCCATCTACAACTAAAAATATATAAATATATTAAGTTCCTGTGTCTTTGCTGAGAAGAGGGTGCAGAGCTTTCATGAAGACTTTTCTCAGAGGACTCTGGACTTCACTCCCTGGAACCCTTCTCTGGCTGATTTTAAGGATGGAGTTGGTTTGGAGGAAAGGAGCTTGCCAGTTTGCTGTCGCCTCTCCTCAATGGGTACCTGTGTACTGACACCCCACAACTGCGTTTTGCAGATCATGTGACTAGAGAGAAGCTTGACCGGATTCTGGCTGTTATCCAAGGCTCCCATCAGAAGGCCCTGGTGATGTAAGTGGGGTCCTGGGGAGGTGCTGGAACAACAAGAAGTGCCTGCAGAGCTCTGTGGGCTCTGCCTGCCCTGGTACAGATTCCAAGGATCCTGACAGGTTTTTACAACTCAAAACTAAATGGAACTGCCCGTTCTTCTCAGGGCATGCAGAAGTGTTTCTGCCAGGTCTTGTTCTGGCCACTGGGGAAATAAATAAATTAAATAAGTAAGTAAATAAATAAATAAATAAATAAAGGAGAGCAAGAAATCCCAGTGCCAATCTTGGGAGCTTGGAAACCTGGATCCACATCCTGGAGGCACAGAGCTGGTGGTGGGGTCATCTAGTAACTACGACCTTGGGCCCTTGTGGCAGCCCACTTAGGATTCCTGGTTCCTAGACATCAGTGCTGTGGCCTTGGGTGAGACCCTACCCTGCTGGAGTCTGACTTTTCTTGTCTGTGAATGGGACAGAAAGAACCCATGCCTTCCAGAAATGTGCTGAGGATTTCAGAGGATCAGACAGGTTCCTGAGGAACAGGGACACAGCAGAACAGCCACCTGAGATGGGGAAGCAGCTGTGATTAGAGAAAATGGCCTGGAGAACATGATTTCAAGAATGAGTGGGAGCTGGATGAGGTGGCTTGTGTTATCCCAGCTACTCTGGAGGCTGAGACAGGGGCACCTGAGTTCAGAAGCTTAAGACCACATTATGTTGCTACAGGCAACATAGCAAGACCTCATCTCAAAAAATAATAATAAAAATAATAATAATAATAATAATCAATCACCAACAACAAAATATAAAACACCTGGGTGTGGTGGTACCCAGCACTCAGGAGGCAGAAGCAGGAAGATCAAAAGCTCCAGGCCAGCCTCAGCAATTTAGCAAGACTCTGTCAAAATAAAAAGGGCTCGGGATGTAGCTCACTGGTATAGCTCTTGCCCTGCATGTGCCAGGTTCTGAGTTCAATTCCCAGTACCATAAAAAATAAAATGGAAGCAGGATGGACAGGATGATGTGGGCACAAAGAGAGAAGAGTCTGGGAAAATATCCTGGGCCACTGGGGGTTGGGACAGGGAGAAGGAACCCATGTTGGGCATGTTTTGGGTTACTTGGGTTGAGTGTGCAGTGCCTGAAGGATGATCAGGCTGAGATGCTGGAGCATAGGGCCCATCACCCTCTCAGCCTGGGTCACCAGTGAGCCCAGGGAACGTGGGCAGAGGCTGCCTTTGGTGATTGAAGGGGACCAAGTATAAAGGAGGCTGCTCCAAAGGTGGCTGGAGAGTAGGGGGTGGGTGGGGAGCATAGAGCAAGTGAGAGGAAGCACCTTCCATGGTGGGGCAGGAGCTGGCTGCACCTCCACCCACACTACCCCCTGCTCCCCAGGTACTCTAACCTAGACCTGCAGTCCCAGGAGGCCTATGAGATGGCCACGAGAGGTGTAATCCGGCCCATGAACAAGTCCCCGATGTTGATCACTGGCTTCCGGTGCCTCCATTTTGCACCTCCAGAGTTCCTCTTAGGTAAGCTGCCTCAAGAAGTTGGAGCCCCTGTGGAATGCTCTGGCAGGAGCCTGCCTCTCAGGCTCAGCCAAGGCAAGGACACGCCAACCCTGATCTCTGCTGATTAAGGCTTCAGGGGCCAATTTCCTTCCCGCTCTGACCCAGACTTACCTGAACCCAGTGCAGCCCTGACTCCTGCCAAGTCAGCCTTTGAAGTCAGAACTGAACAGACAGAGGTTCCAGAACAACCTCCATTGCTCTGGGCCCCTCAGACATCGCTGTCGTTTCCCGGGTCCTGCCCAGCTCAGGATCTTTGTTCCTTCTATGACTGTTAGTCATGTGAACAAGGGCTTTTCTTTTTTGGTACTGGAGCTTTACTCCAGGGCCACTTTACCACTGAGTCATGCCCCCAGTCCTTTAAATTTTTTGTATTTTATAGTTTTTGAGTCAAGGTCTTGTGAGTTGCTGAGACTTGCAGTCCTCCTGCCTCAAAGCCTCCCTAGTTGTTGTGATTACAGGTGTGTACCACCATGCCAGGCTAACCAAGGCTTTTCTTGAGCACTGATCAAGACTCTGAATGCTAAGCACCATGTATAAATGATCTCTTTAGTCTTTATAATTCCTGTTTACAAATTAAGAAATGAGGTCTTGGAGTAATACTTCTCAAATTCTCACCTGCCCCTTGGTTACCTGGCGGATTTCTTAAAAGGCAGGTTCCAACCCAGCAGTGCAGGTGGGGTTTTGGATCCTACATGTCTGACAAACTCTTAGGGGTCCCCAAAGGACTGCATTCTGCACAGCAAGGCCTAGAAAGCTGAAGTGTCTTGCCAAGGCTATTACACAGTTGAGGCATCCAGATGCCAGAGGCGATTCCTGACCTCAGTGTCCATCCATGTCCCTGGCAGAGGTGCAGTGTATGCACGAGACACAGCAGCAGCTGCGCAAGCTGGTGCATGAGATCGGCCTGGAGCTGAAGACCACTGCTGTCTGCTCCCAAGTGCGGCGCACACGGGACGGCTTCTTCACACTGGATGATGCCCTCCTGAGGACTCACTGGGACCTACACAGCATCCAGGATGCCATCCAGGCTGCAGCCCCCCAGGTGGCAGCCGAGCTGGAAAAGAACCTGAAGCCAAGGTTGGGCACCCAGGAGCTCCCCAGTCCCAGCCCATCCTGGAACTCCGAAGGCCTGAGCTCCACCATGGGGGCAGGGAGCTGTGCAGGGCATTGATAGGCCAAGCCGTTGGCGGGGAAGTGGGCGTTGTAGCATAAAGGCTCAGTATTCATGAGCCAGAACCAGTGAGTGTGGAGGAATTGAGAGTAAGAGAAGCTCTTCTACATGGACACAAAACTGAGTCTGTAATAGGAAAGATTAGTGGGCTTAACCCAATTGAAAAGGAAAAAACTCTGTATGGAGAAAGAGATGATAAACAAATGACAGACTAAGACTAATAAAAAAAATTTGCAGTATCTTTAACTAGGAACAGCGTCCACAGGCTGTATGCACACACACATGTGCTTTTTTTTTTTTTTTTCCTTTTTGTGGTTGAGCCAGGGCCTTCAGCATGCTGGACAGGTGCTTTACCACTGAGCTACATTCCCAGCCCAATCTATACCACATAAAGAACATTCGACAGTAAGAACAAAATGACAAGAAAATTGATATGGAAAAAAGAACACAAACACAATATGGTGATCATTTCATGTCATTTAGTATTCTTTTACAAATATTTTTCCAAAAACAGTTGAGCAATGATTTGAACTGTTTGTGTATCAAAAGTAATCTAAGGGGCTGGGGCTGTAGCTCAGTGGTTGCCTAACGTGTGTGTGGCCCTGGGTTTCACCCCCAGCACTGAAAAACAAAAACCAAAAATCCAAGAAGCTAGTACACCAGAAATGGCCTTCAGCCTCCCTATTAATGAAAGAAGAAAATGAGAGGACTCTACTTGTCTCTCATAGTGGGAGAATTAATTAAAAGATAATAGGCCGGGCTGGAGATATAGCTCAGTTGGTAGAGTGCTTGCCTCACATGTACAAGGCTCTGGGTTCAATCCCCAGCACCACACACACGGGGAAAAAAAAAAAAAGGTAATATGCTGTATTGGTGATGGGGCAAGAAAATGGGCCATCTGTGAAACTGCTCTCTTAGGAGTAATTGGTAGTGTGTATCAGAATTTAATCCTTCTGCCCTATGATCAAGCCACCATCAGGATTCTGTCCTACATGGTTAGAGACATTTATATACAGACAACTGTCGTGGCTGTGTTTTAACTGTAAAAAGTGCAGGAGGTGGCTGGGGATGTGGCTCAAGCGGTAGCGCGCTCGCCTGGCATGCGTGCAGCCCAGGGTTCGATCCTCAGCACCACATACAAACAAAGATGTTGTGTCCGCCAAATACTAAAAAATAAATATTTAAAAAAAAGAACCTTACAATACTCAATGTTCAGAAATGGTTCTTTAGAAGGTCTGCAAATGTCAATGTAAGCCTGTGACTAGGACACATTACCAGAAGATGTCAGATTCTGCTACTGTCCAGCAGTGTAAATGTGTGTAAATTACTTCGTGTCTTTGAGCCTTGGTTTCCTCACCTGCATCACAGGGAAAATGATTCCTATGCATGGAGGTATTAGGAGAATTAAATGAGTTAAGTAAGTAATAATTTACGGCCATAAGAAATGTTCTTAACTAATCATAGCAATTACTATTATAAACAGATAAATAAATGAAGTAACTTCCTTACCACTTGCTATTGGATTACTCAAGAATTAGAACTGGCTGGAAAGTGTGGCAGTTTGAATGTATGGCAAATTCTGCTAGAGCAGCATTTTAAAATGGCAGTTGGGCCAATGTCAACACAAGAATATACAAGGCTCTTAATACGTAAGCATTAAGCCCTTGAACATAAACACCCTGAATGCATGTATTAGATGGTCAAGGCTCAGTCTTCCTCAAACCACTTTTTATCTTTTAGCATCAGAGGATGCCAAACAGGGGCAAATATGGTCAAACGGTGTAGCTACTTATGAATTTATACTATGAACATTTAACATTACAGTGTTTTTAGCTAGAAGAAGTCTCTGTAAATCTCCAGGAGCTTCTCAGTTTCGAGAAATATGTGACTCCTGCAGCTCAAAAATAGGTAACATCTCAGTGTTCCAGGAGGTTTCATCCAGCCTTAATCCATTCCTTTAAAAGTCAGGCAGCAGTAGAGGTTCCAGATGGTTGGTATAATTTGAGTAAATCATGCATGCCATATAACAAAACCTAGAAAGTTGTATTTGAAAATGTGTTTTAAAGTCTTATGTAGAAATCCTTTGGTCAGACCAAGGCTGATGGCTGGGATCTCTCTTACTCTACTACTGATTAAATGGTGCTCACTCACCACTGACTTCGAAAAGAATAGGAGCGGTTGTCCATGAGTCTGTGAGTGAAATTACCTGCGTGTGTCTGCCCTCCCCATGGCTCATGAAATCCATGCAGCTAGGGCCACCCCTGCCTTCTCATGTCCTCTGAGCCAGTAAGGCCATCATCATATGGTAGGTGCTGACCCATTTTGTGGAGGAAGGATGCAGGGCTCCTTGGTTAGGCCTGATTGGCGCTTCAGACCTGAGCTCCAATGATTAGAACTGAGAGCCCGCTGCTGCTGCTTTGAGGTCAGGGAGGGCATAGTCTTCAGGGTGTTGTCACTGCTCAATAACTCCTCCATGGAGCGGAGGAGGTCTGTCTGTCCTGCCCAGAAGAGTAAGCCAGAAATCTCCTTCCGAGAAAAAGATGAGACACAACAAAACTTCTGTCCACATTGGAACTGCACCTGGAGTTTAAGATCTTCTGAAGGTGTATATAAAATGTATTTTTGATTTTTCCTGGTGGCTTGTATCCCTGCCCTACCCCTCCTAGCCTCTTCTATCAACCTCCCTACCCCAAATTGAGAGTTAGGATTCTGGTTTTAAATCTGGAAGCTTCGTGCTTTACCTACCTGCCTGGAGTTTCCTCACACCTAACTGTAATGGTTTTCCCCTCTTAGGATGATGTTCTGAGCTCAGAAAGCTCGTCACACATTCTGTACTATTAGATGCCGCTCTGGTGGTGAATAGGATAAATGGGGTTTCTGTTCTCATGGAGCAAATATTCCAGGGGAAGGAGTCAAACAATGAAGAAATAGAAAAACAAGAGCACATCGGAGGTGGTGAGTGGTATGCAGAGAACTCACAGAGAAAAGAGGCAATAGAAGGTGGTTGGGGGCTAGGTTAGACTGGGTCATCACAGAATGCCTCTTCAAGGGGTGAAATTTAGAGTCTGAAGGTAGGAAAGGAGAAATAGCAGAGCCAAGGCCCAGTGACAGGGATGGCTTGGTGTGTCTAAGGAATGGAAGTGTGGCTGTTGGGAGGTGGCCAGGCTTTGAAAGTCCTTGCAATGCGTTTGGAATGGGTTTTTAAATATGGTGGGTATCGGGTTAAGGAAGTATATAGTGATGTTATCTGAAATTCATTGTAGAAGATCATTACAGCTGAGGGCTGGGAGAGATAGCTCAGTTGGCAGAGCACTTGCCTAAGATTCTGTGTTCAATCTCCAACACCAAAAAGAAAAGAAAAAAAAGTTACTGCAGCTGTTGTGTGAAGAATGAATTGTAAGCAGCTAAGCATGAAAGCACAGAGTGTAATTAAATTAGTAGGCAATCCTAGTAGTCCAAACTGTAGACAATGAGGGCTTACACTAAGTGGGGAAGTGGAGAGGAGTGGCTGAGTGTAGGCATGAATGCATAGCCCTCAATGCCTAGTAGGCATTCAATAAACTCTGGCTGTCATCGTTGTCATTGTCATTATCATCATCATCATCATCATCATCATCATCATCATCATCACTCTTGCCATGGTAAAATGAGACTGGACCAAGTTCAGCATTACAGTGGTCCTAAGAACATTATTGAGGGCTGGGGCTGGGGCTCAGTGGCAGAGCACTTGCCTAACATGTGTGAGGCCCTGGGTGTGGTACTAAGGATAAAGGAAATAAAGGCATTCTGTTTATCTACAACTACATTTTTTTTTAATAAAAGAATATTATTGAGTCTAGAGCCAAATTTGGTTGAATGAGCCAAATATTCGTATGTGGGCATTTAATTACTGTTACTTTTTGGGCACTGTCTTAGATGCAGTGTTCTCAATGCTTTTCTCTTTGCATTTTGAAAAGAAATCAATCATTTAGTCTTTTCAGGACACATCGTGTCGTTATTTTGTAGTGAAAGAATTCCGATTATCTTCAAATGACAGATGTGAAACCATGAATTCTAAGTTGTGTGGAAGACGCAATATATTGCATTGCTCTGGAATTTATTATGAGCAAGGAGTTGGAAAAAATTAGGGAGTTAATATCCAGGAAGAAGGCAAAACTAAAAAATGACACAGAGAGATTAATATATTTATGTATACATGTCATGCAGTTTGATGCCAGAAAAGGCAAATGAAGAAGTAATGTTCTGAAAACAACTCACTATTACCAAGACCACTAAACTTTGAGTCAGAGAAATATAAAGACTAGTGACAGTCATGCATATAAGTTACTATGGAGTTATTTAAAATTATGAAGAGAGTGGGGTGGTGGGGGAGAGAGAGAAAGAGAGAGAGAGAGAAAGAGAGAGAGAGAGAGCGAGCTATTCTTTATTCTTTCCTTTTTTCACTTTTTTTTTTTTTTTTTGGAATGAGGATCAAACCCAGAGGCACTTAACTATTGTGCCGCATCTCCAGCCCTTTTAAATATTTTATTTAGAGACAGGGTCTTGTTGAGCTGCTTAGGGCCTCACTAAGTTGCTGAGGCTGGCTTTGAACTTGCGATCCACATGCCTCAGTCTCCAGAGCCTCTGGGATTATAGGTATGTGCCACAGTGCCCAGCCCTTTCTTCACTCTTTTCAGATGTGAGTCTTTGGCTCTGCACTTTAACAAATACACAAATCTTTGCAGCCTACTCTTATCAAGCAAGCTTGTATTTACAAGCTAAATTATTCTGAGACATAGAAGTCTTAAATGAAAGACAGACATCACTGCAATCCTTTAAGGTCATGCTGATCTCTTCAAATGTTAGCAATCACTGGGGTAAGACTGACTTTTCAGCTAACTGACCCCGTCACTTTAGAGTAATCCCTGTGATGAGTAAAAGTGTAACAACACGTTCTAAGAAAAATCTAAGTGATAATATTCTATTAGGCCGGAGAGAGTCTGTTTTCAAAATGTGGACACCAATAGTCTCCAAGCAGTGTGGCTTCTAGATACCCTGAAGTACTTATTCAGGTTTACTGAGTACCCACAATGGGGCAATAATTCTGGCAATGAATTTTTGCTATCTTCAAAATTCCACTTTTCTCTCTCCCTTTTTCTTTCCTTTCTTCCTCTCCTCTTCCTCCTTTTTCTTTTTACAATTCAGATAAAAAAATGTGTCTGACTATAAAATATAATAGATAGCTGGATCATCAGGATACTCCTTTTAAAATTA